TGTCGTGAAGGAATAAATCATGCGTAGTAGTAATTTTCGAGCGAGATGCTTTTGAGCCTGATGCGTGTATAGGCATGGACCGATTCTGGTCTAACCGGACCAGTGAACCAGCCCGGGAACCGGGCCTAGGACCGGCCCGAGGTGTTAGGGCGGGCCTGTTCCGGGCTTGCCCTTCCTTTGGAACCGGTCCGGGCATATATATGTATATATATATATATATATATACATATATATATATATATACATATATATATATATATATATATATATATATATATATATATATATATAGATTTAGGTTCATGTGAGAACTTAATCTTAGGAGAGTAAAAAAGAATAGATGTGAGCCATTGAATTTTGAAACTCTTCAATATTTCATTAAGGGTATATAAGAGAATTTTACACCACATTAAAAACTACACGGTTGATTACTTCCCTAGAATCTTGCTAATATTTCCTTAACTATCTCCCTATAATTTTGCATAGCCAATCATGAATCATCCAATTTCTTTTAATTTGCTTTACGGTTCTCATATTTTTTTTATCAAATTAGTTTTATTCAATCAAAATAAATTCTTTTATCTCATTTAATTCTTTCTTACCTTCATATGATCAAAAAAATTCTTTCTTACCTTCATTATTCTCAAGATGTGTGTTACGGAGAAGACATTCCTTTTCATATTTTGTTAAAATGCTCGGTCATTTCATCACCTTATGTTTAAATATGTCTTCTTTTTTATGTTTAAATGCATTTTCATATATTATTTATCCTCTAGATATTATTAAAAATTGCACTAACACAACTATATATATTGCACCTTTTAAGTATCATAACTGCACCACATGTCTATGTATATTTTTTTAGAAAGTGTGTGAGAATAATGCAGTTTTATAAATATTTAAATGCACATGTTTAAAGTGCATTCATTTGGGGTAAAAGTGACATGTAAAGATTTAAAAAGTGTGATATAGTAATGCACTTTTATATATACTTAAATGAACATAATAGTATATCATTGTAGTTTTACACCCACATTTATTTATTTTCATTTTTTTATGATTTCGATAATTTTTATTATTTCAAAAGAAAAGTGCATTTCATTTTGTATAAGCGTCAATGTAAACTTTCGGAAAAGTGTGATATACTAATGCACTTTTTTGTATACTTAGTGCACATGATAAAAAGTGCATTTTATGTTGTAAAAGAGTGTCAGTGTATAAGTTTAGAAAGTTTGATGTAATAGTGCACATTTGTCTTATTCTAAATGCACGTAGTTGATAGTTTATTGTATATTTATATTAGTTTTTTTTGCAGAAATGTATGGATGTGTCGAACTAAAATGTTCTAAAAGTGCAAAATAATAACATTAAAGTGTAGTTTACAATACTCCAAATTAACCTAATAAACTTGTATTTCCCCGTAGGTTGCAAAAATATCTAAATATCTAATTAAATTGATGTTGCAATATGTTCAAATAAAAGTGCAAGTATTCAATATTTAAGTGCAAATACACAAAATTAAGTACATGAAATATTGCCTCTGAAAAGACAATTAGACGTGAAAAATGCACAATTTGAATAATTTTTTTATATCAAATTACTCATCCGAATTATATGTGAGATAATACTAAATTTATTTTGGAAAGGAAATTAAAATAATAGAATATATAAGAGGGAGGTACGTTACTCCCTATTAATTATTAGTCTACTTTTTAGGATGAATTCCTATTATAGTGCTGCATACGTATTAATGCTTGAATGAAATTTACTATGATGTCCCTTATTTAATTTTCAGTTGGAGAGTTGCCATATATGAGAGCCTAATGATCCGAAGCTAGCAATAATTTCGAAAAATGCTAAGCCATTAGATCAAGTTAATTAAAGGTTCGATTACATTATTCAATGCTCGGATTTTAATCTTTTTCCCGCTCCTAAAAGGGTGTTCTCACAGGATCTACTCCCTATATATATATATATATATATATATATATATATATATATATATATATATATAGGAAAAAGATCAGGTGAGAAGTGCCCCTTAAAATGAGAAGTGAGAAGTAATCTCAGCCCTTGGATTTGCATCTCATCTTACAACGCAGTAAACTTATAGGCTAAATATAGGAACTTATAACCAATAAATCATAACTTATAAAGCTCTCCATAAGAATTACGAAAATGCCACCGCGTCAATTTTTTTCCCAGATTTCCGTAATTATTTTTTTGCGGTGGCATTTTCGTAATTATTTTCGAGGGGTCTATAAGTTATGATTTATTGGTTAAAAGTTCATATATTTGGTCTATAAGTTTAACTTCGCAGTTCTCAGCTTAAGAGCACTTCTCACCTGATCCGCTCCCTATATATATATATATACAAAAATGATCCTGTCCGAACGTTCAGACAGGATCCTCCGTCCGAACATCCCCGTTTGGGGCTCTTCCCGGTGGAATTTTTTGACGAAATTTTTTGAGCATGTTCCTCATCAAGTCTAGTTTGTCCATACCAAATTTCAGCTCAAAATTCGATCGGGAAGGCATTCAAATAATTTTTTGAAGTTGACTGCGTTTTTATATGTACATTTTGACGCAGTCAACTTCAAAAAATCATTTGAATGTCTTCCCGATCGAATTTTGAGCTGAAATTTGGTATGGACAAACTAGACTTGATGAGGAACATGTTCAAAAAATGTCATCAAAAAATTCCACCGGGAAGGGTCCCAAATGGGGATGTTCGGACGGTGTTCGGACCAGGAATGTTCGGACCTGAACATTCCTCTCTCTCTCTCTCTCTCTCTCTCTCTCTCTCTCTCTCTATATATATATATATATATATATATATATATATATATATATATTCATTTTTTTTGTTGTAGGCGGGTTGGGCTGAGAACAAATTTGTTCACCCTTCTAAAGAGGGTGAACATCACCCACCACCCTCCAATGTTGCCACATGGCATGGCAATACATTTCAATTTTGCAATTCTTATAACTTTTTTGTTTTTGATTCAATTTTTTCAAAAAATATATCAATATTTTCAGTTTTTTATGATCTTTAATATGATACTAATATCGAATATGTAAAATTTTAAAAAAAAAATCCAACTGAAAAAAGACTTAAGGAAAAAAGATTTTTTTTCAATTTTTTTTTATATGTGATATGGATACCATTAGAAAGATAATAAAAAGTTATTAAATCTGATATAAAAAAAGTTATAATGATTTTAAGAAAAAAAGAATTTGTGATGCCAAATGACAAGTAAAGAGGGGAGGGGGTGATGTTCACCCTCCAATAAGGGGTGAACAAAATCGGACTCGGTTGGGCTGGGTGTTTTTGTTTTTTTTTTTTTTTTTTTTTTTTTTGGGGGGGGGGGGGGGGTTGGGGGGGGGGGAATGGGGGGGTTGGAGGTTAATTAGAAAAGCAAAAAAAAAAATAAGAACCGGCCCGGCCTGGACCCGGTGGAATCCCGCGCCGGTTCCGGCCCTTCACCCAACAATAAAAAGCCCAGTTTGGACCAGCTTGGAGCCCGGCCCAGTCCAGAACCAGTCCATGCCTATGCGTGTAAGGAGTCACCACATTGATGAAACTCTCACATATTCATTGCTGGAAATTGAACTTGAAACTTCACCCCAATTATCTCACTCAACTACCAATGAGCTATCCGTACATGTATTTTAGTCGTGCAAGGATCTTTAAACTTATTTTGTAAGAATTAATTTTTGTTTCTTATAGGAAAATTCAATAGAGCAACCGGGAGAAATATATACGTATAGATTATAGTGAGATTTGGAAGTGTTTTCATCTTCATTAACTTTGATTTCATGTTTTCAAATATCAATTCACGTTAGCAATCATAAACTCTTGGGGGAATAAGGTTTGGATTTCATAGATATATTTGGAAGTAGCATAAGATCAACATTTTAACGTGTAAGTGGTTAATTTGAAGGTGCACTTTGATTCTGTTCTCTTATTCTCTTAGCACCCTTTTGTGATGCATATTATAACCTTTTCAGCAACTCACATTTCATTTCAGGCAAGCTGGCAAGGTGCACTTTTTAGATGTACAGGAACGCATGAAATATAATTTACACATACGAGAATACATGCTAAAGTTAACACATTTGCTAAAGAGCATTTCTTTATACATATCGCCATATTTTTATTTATGAAATTGATTAGCTTTCACTATGAACAAGATCAACTCTTTTTCAAGTCATGGACTTCTCATTTGACCACACCAACATACCCCGATATGCGCATACACACAATTTGAAAAGTTTGATATATACCTTACTAACCTCTATACGCAACTGAAAAAACAATAGCAAAGTTTATTAGTGACTTAAGTCTTAAGTAAATCAAACTAGTATCATATCTTTACATAAATGTTTCAATTGACAATTTTATTCAAATTTTCAGCCAGAATTATGTGTAAAATCCATTTTACATTACTTTTGTCTATGTTATTACTGTAAGGTAAACTCTATGCATGGAATTTCAATCATCACATAGGATTTATTAGCCGGAAATTTGAAAAATATTATCGGTTGACACAATTACGTATAGTTATGACACTCATTTGTTCCATTTAAGAGTTAAAATACCAAAATGCAACAATATCAATATTTAAGGTGTAATTTGTCCCTCATAACCATGAAACTAATGAGGAATTCCTGCTACAAAGTTAATAGAGTGAAGGAGCTGTGTGGGAATTAAAATACTACCCCTCCATCATGTTCAAAGGTTCTCATTGCAAAATAACACAATTATTTAGACAATAATTAAATATTGTGAAAAATAATTTGGAATGATTATATAACATAATGGTGTTATTGATTATAACCGTGATGTTATAGATGTTTTATTTTAATACTTGATGATTAAATTGTCATTTAGGAGTATTAATTGCTTTCTAAAAAAGAAATGAGAAGCTTTTAAATTGGACATCCCAAAAAGGAAAGTGAGAAGCCTACGACGGGTCGACGGGATGGAGGGAGTAGTAGATTGAATAAAGAGGGTAAATGTGAATAAAAATCAATGGGGGTAATGGTGGGGAATAATTTCAGTATGGAAATTTTCAAAACATCAATAGAACCCCGTTTCTAAAACAGTAAAACACACTTGAATAGTGCAAAAAGCAGACCTTTTGGACGGACATACATATTACAAAATTTTCCAGCTTCTTAAATAAATGGAACATAAAAATGTATATAATGCAGGGAGAATTTGGTCACACATTTGCACCCGAATCTGCACTCTCTCTCTCTCTCTGCAGGCTATGTTCTTTGTACTTTGTCAAAAATCTTCTACAAAAGATTCAGTCGCTTTCTACATCATGAGCTGTCTCAAGAAAAGAGAAAACCAAAAATCAGACACTAGAGAGAATGCATTCATACAAATGTTGGAAACTTTTTTTAATTCCTTTGTTTCGAACTTCGTGAAGAACAACAGAGGCATGGAGCCTGATTGATAGTGTGGTTCAGAACTTCAGATTTAGTTTGCCTATTCTTCATATAAGTGGAATAAGCAAGATAATAATCAAATGAGCAAAATAAGTAGCTTTTAACTTGCTTATTTGTCTTAAATGGATTTAACTAAATGCTTTCCCTCTCAGAATATTCAGTCAAATAACCTCACCAAGGGGGCCTCTAAGAATAAGGACTATTAGCACACCAAAGTTAAGGAAACTGATTGAACTAAACAATGCATGAGTTACCTTCACTTAGATCATCGATCTGAGAACCATCAGCTTCTTCCTCTGTGTCACTAGAATCATCTTTGTTACTGTCACTATCTTCATCGTCGCTCTTGTCATCGATGTCTTTAATAGGTGATGTGGGTCTTGGGGGAGGCAGGAAACTGGTTGTTGTTGACCTTCTTCGTGAACTTGAAACAATGTTACTCATGTCAATTCCTTCTAGTTCTCTAGCTCTTTCTTTTCTCTTTTTAACTTCTTTAATATCTAGTGGTAGACAATAAAAAAAAGATAGGTCAACATGAGATATAGAAATAGTGTGTTTGTGTGTGTAAGAGTTCAGCAAGTACTATTTGTTTGGAGCAATGATTATAACCGTGTGATAATTAGGGGGTTAACTTAAGTCCGTAGGCGTGTGTGTACATAGAGAGAGTATATCATATTATTCATATCAAGCTCCTGACGGGATTCTTGTCAGGCGCACTCTGTTCTTGAGGAAAATATTATTCAAAGTTCCAGATTATTTCTGCTCATTAGCATTAAAATGATCATGTGAAGAATCAATTTTGTGGATGATAAATCTTTTTTTAATGATTAATTAATCTTAACCTTAGAGAGTATGTTTATATTTCGAACAAACAAAAGATGTCAGTTGAAAAAAAACTGGACTTTCGAGTTATATTGTGCCTATAAATACACACATGCATGTCTGCACGTTTTAGAAAACCGGTAAAATTTCTTTTGGTTTTGGCATGACACACTTCTTAAGAATGTGAAATTGTATGGTTGTGATTAAAATATATAGGAGATAAAGAATACCAACCACACAAATCTTTCCTTAAAAGGAAATGAGAAAAACAATGGACTTGCCAAAAAAATATGGAAAGAAAATAATGGTTGAGGAAGTACACTCAGTTATTTCTTAAAATGTACAAATGGAGTTGGCTACTTTGCTTGTAAAAAGAGGACTAGTGGTGCCAGAGCCACCTCAGAGGGATAATGATAAAAACACATGGATAAACTTTAAAAAATGTGAGAATTGAAGGACAGAAATTGCAACTTTAGATGGAAAATTTGTCTCACAAGTATTACCTTTCTCTGAAGGATTAGTAGACAGTCCCTCTCTTGAGAGTATCTCTTCCAACTCCTTTACTAAGAAATCCTGCCGCTCATCTTCTGGAACCTGCTTGGCTTTCTTGTAAACAACAGGAGGTATGCTGTCGATTGTGTGGGGAGGGGATATTAAGCATTCTGAAAGTCATAAAAATGAGGAAATCCTATCTTAACAAAAGCGAAAGAAATACCCCATTCCACAAGCTTTGATTAATGATTTCAATTTTTCTACAGGTTCTCCATATCCAGCTGCTGAAACAACTTTCTTCTGCATTTTGGAAGGACAATGTTTTAAGGATTGAATATAAATGTTAACTGGAGCAAAACACATGTCAAAAGTACACAAACCTTTGCGGATCTTGAAGCAGTCGATGTTGGAGACTGATGATCTTCAGAGTCACTCTTATCCCTTTCTTCTGATCCCTTATTTCCAGATGGCTTCTTCATAACCTTCTGTTTCTTAGTAGGAACATCAATTTTTCTATCAGGGCTTTTGCGTTTCTTAGAGCCTTCAGATTTATCAAGTTTTGCCTTTGGAACAGTTTTCTTAGCTGATTTGATTCCCTTCTGCACCTTCAAACTTTCATTGTTTGAGGAGTCAGCTGTTCTTTTAGCAAAGATCTCATTTGTTGTTGGAACATCAGAGGAACTCAATACCTATTGGGTAAAAAGAGGAGATGGGAAAAAAATGAAAGTTGCATAACATGCAATGGAAGTAATAACTTTTTATTAATTGTTTTAATTCTCTTTTATCCTGGAGCTTCGACTATAAACATTTACCAACCTCGTCAAGTTCATTCTTTATGAACTTCTTGAAAGGATCAAGAGCATTTTTTTCAAGACCGATTTCTTCCTCTAAATATCGACGAACACTAGCAAGAGTCATTGTCCTGAAAGCAACCAGTCAATCTCACAATTACAAGAAAATATTGAAATACACCGAAATAAATGGTTAACAGTTAATGTATACTCCAATAAGAGGAATGATCCTGTCCAGCCGGAGGGACGGGACTCTCCATCCGGCCATCGCCGTTTGGGGCGGTTCCCGGTGGAATTTTCTGATGATTATTTTTTAAACATGTTCATCATCAAGTCTAGTTTATCCACACAAAAATTCAGCTAAAAATCCGATCGGGAAGGCGGTCAAATAATTTGTTGAAGATAATTGCGCCAAATTATACATATAAAACACAGTTATTTTCAAAAATTTATTTGTCCGGACGGCGCCTCCTCTCCATCCAGATGTACAGGATCTTTTTCCACTCCAATATATTTCTTAAATATATGCCCGGTAAATAAAAGTATGTGTTCAAAAATGAATGCTACTTTAGAAAACCAATCAAGTAATCATCACAAAATGACTAAATTGCCTTCCACATTTATAACTATTGAGCGCAACTTTTAAAACCAAAGTCTATAGAGCTGTGTATGCCAATTTATGGAAAAACTAATTATATCCTTAAAAACATCTCTGGTGGACAAAAATGATGAAATATTATTACCAAAGAGTAACCAAGACAAGTGTAAAAGTATAGACTATCATATGAGGATGAAAGAGGAGATTTTCAGTTGAACACTGAATTCCAAAATAACAAACTCCAACTCGAGGAGAAAATGAAGAACTTTACTGTGATTCAACCATGGATCAAGGTAGATATCTGGTATGCAGATGAGGTGTGGCAGGATTATGATGATACAGATATTGAAGAAAATATCACTTGAAAATATTAATATGTTTACTTTACATTAATCACATTAAAAATGTTGAGGTACATACTCAGCATTAGCCCGAAAATGAGCAGCTCTTTCCAAAATAGCTTTCCTTAAAGAGCTTTCACTAGTCTTAGCATCTTGAGCATCCACCGATCTGGATTTGGAATCCATGACACCTAATATTGGAGAGTCATCCAATTTTTTCTCATCTTCAGCACCAGAACCTTTTACAACTTTTTTTGCTTTATGCTCTTCAGGCGACCTTTCCGCCCCATCTTTCATTGTCTTGTCCTCTTCAGGTGACCTTTCCACTTCATCTTTCATTGTCTTGTCCTCAAGATGAGACTTTTTCGTTGCATTTTTCTTTGTATCATCCTCTTCAGGTAACTTTTCAGCTTCATGTTTCATTGTCTTGTCCTCTTCAGGTGATTTTTCTGTTTCAACTTTCTTTGTACTGTCCTTTTCATTGGCATGCTCCAAATGCTAGCAAGTAGAGCGCAAAACATGAAACAAGTTTCCATTATCAGACAAGTGGACAAGGTTGATGGCCATGATGGGTACGAACTAATTCCTTGGGTTTAGATTCTGGTACAAGCTGCCAACTAGTTGCACTTGACATACACTACCCATCCCCTCAATCAAAGAAAATTTGACCCTAGATTTGCCAAAGTGAGTATAAAACACCCCCAAAGTAAATAGATAAGAGTGTAATATGAATGTCCAAATGCACATGAGAACAAATAATTCATCTACTGGGTAGTTTTCTTTAATAAGAACTACATTTCTTAAAAGACACGTCCTACTAACCAACCACTTCGTCCCAAAAAAGAGTCCTTCCATAAAAACTTTATGATCCCTTAAAAAGAATCCAGTTTTAAAAGTGAATTTTACTTTTTAGGTAAAACTCCTGTAAGTGAGTGACAGCCTGACAGGAAGTTTTAGTTACTCAAAACAATCCAGATAATAAGTTTCAGGGGTATATAAGTGGTCATAATCTCAAAACGATCCTGAAAATAAGTTTCAGGGGTATATAAGTGGTCATAATCTCAAAACGATCCTGAAAATAAGTTTCAGGGGTATATAAGTGGTCATTATTAAGTTGTAGAGCTTACATTAATTGAGCTACTGCATATAAAATGTTGTACCTTACATCCTCACTCATATAGGACTCTTTTAAGGACGAATGGAGAAGTGAATAGATTAAAACTATACATCATAGTAATATTTTTAAAAAAGGCCAAGTGCCGGATGAACATTATATTGGGGTTTAGTGCATAGGTAGACATGTATTGGGGTTGGGTGGGATCTAAGTGAACTATGGATTCTTTTTACAAATCAGGCAAATGGATAGGCCTTCTTATGCTCTTATATTCAAGCTAAGAAATTTTAACATGTGAAAAATATTTGTGCATAGCAACGTCACAACGAGCTAAGTACTAAAATGGATGTAACCATAGTTGCCGATGGCGCTTGCGCCATGCGCCATGAGGCACGCTTATGGTCTCAACGGAGTCAACGCCATGAAAATAGGCCGTGGCGCTGGAAATACACATGTCGACGCCATTCCCTCGCCTTTGCCATTCTCTCGCCATTTCCAAATAGGAGACAGAGGAGGCGGAGGAGGCGGAGGAGACGGACAAGGTTGAAGATCCCTCTGATGATGAAATGAATGAGGATGTTGTGCCATTGCTATCAGATTCAGACCAAGATGATGAGGAGTGCGATGATTGATGATGATTATGGCATAACCATCAAACAAAAACAAGCTAACAAGCCTAAATCCTAACATATTTTTGCAAGACATGAAACTTTTTTTGAATATTATGTTTTTTGGAAGTACTTTAAACTATTTTAACTTCATGTGTTTTGGTTAAAATGTTGTTATTCAACTTTTTATCATGTTTTGGTGGTTGAGTTGATCAATTATAGTGTCTACAACTCGTTTTGTAGTTTTTTTGTCACGTGGAGATGCCATATTTGCGCCATCGCCATGGGAAATGTCCTGTGCGCCATGGATGTTGCCCTGCGCCATGACAACTATGGATGTAACCATTAACCAATAACTACACATCAAAGTTTTAACAGACAAAACCAGGCCTGAAGACGGTTGTCCCAAACCTCATGAAGAGGAAGCCTTGTAACGAAGCGGGGTGTACACTTCGAAATGTTAAATCACCTAATTCTAAAAATAACATAAAAATAGAAAATCAATCCTTGAGGTTCAATGATATAAAACCCTGAAACATTGAAGAAAAACACATAGTATTGTTTTGAAGATAAGATAAAAGTGTAGATCACTATGAAACAAAAACATAACATTAGAATTTGTAAGCTAGAAGAATTTAATTTTAAATTAAATGATGCAATTAGTTATGCATTCACTTTTGATTATTTCTTACAGACTAAAGTCAAAGAAAAATTGAATTTAGCACCAAAAGAAGGTTTTGAATTTAGATTTGAATACTTATTCAGTAGAACTATTTTTGGCATCATGAATTGTATCATATTATAGGTCATAAGACGTAAGATCAATAAAAGTATAGTAGACTTAAATAATAATGAGTGAAAACTAGTACCAAACATAAACTAATATTGAAAAAAAAGTGGTAGTTAAAGTATTGTATATTCATAAGTAAATACATTAGTCACAAATCCATTCAAAATGGAGTATTGTCTTCAGCCCAATACCCTGTTTTTTGCCAATTCAGCACCCCGGTTTAGTAGACATATACACAGAGCAACGATAAGAACAAAAATAGCGGTGACAAATTTAAACACTCAATTCCTTAATTCAGTGACTCCAGTTGGCGCAAGCTTTTAAAAGAATATTGCACAGGCTTAAACCTAGCCTAATGGTAGTCGATAAAAACTTGAGAATAAAATATGTAAAAATAGAATGGAAAGGATTGGCAAGTCGACTCAGCGATGCGGACTACAAGAATAAGAGATGCAAATGAGAGACGAAGGGAACAAGAAAGAAAGAGGAAAAAGTTCTACGATCCCACTCAGAAATATCAGCACTTATGTTTTCTTCTACCTTAGCACCTAGACCTCATGCCTTTAAGCCTCAACCAACTGGAGATGTAAGCCTCACATGGCATTTTCTTACCTTCATTGAGACATACACCTCCCAAGCCTTTGAAAACTAAGTTGCATGTTAAGGGAATGCAATGTTTAACAGTTTGTGCAATGAGCAACTAACTGACTTAAGTCATAAAACCAAATATGAACTATACAATATGTTTTTTATGTGAAACGATCTTTTGAAATGCAAAAACCAATATGATTACCTCCTCCAAAAATTGCTTGATGAATTTTTTATGCACATCTAAGGAATTCTTCTCAACACCCAAATCTTGCTCAATTAACCGACGAACTCTTACCATTGTGAAGGCTCTGCATCCAATAGGGAAAATCAGAAAACATAATAGACGTGTTAATGGAAAATTATTTTAGATTGTACATTAACTTAGTACTGTAAACGGCAAGTCCAGTGCCAAAGTTCCCGCACAGTTCGGGTTCTGTGGAATGGATAAAGTAGGCCACCTTTTCCTTGCTTGCGAGGAAATGGATCATAAACCTAGGCATCCCAGCCACCCCTCACATTATGATGTTGTTTAATTAATAATAGAACATGGCATTGCCGTATTGCTTAGCAAATGGAACATGACACTATTGTGTTGTTTGGTACTTTGGTTAATAAAACATGTTACTGGCACACAGGCAAAGATCTGGCAGTTTAAATGAAGGTTCTCGTGTATGTAAATTTTCATGTTATATTGTCTCAATTTCCCACCTATATATCCATCGGATTAAGAAAGCAATCAAGACAACCAGCTGAAGGCAGTGCTGCAAAAAACATGTAATGCTTGGGGCACTTTAAATTAGGATGATATAGGGATACGCCTATGTGGCACAAATTCATTGGATGTCTAACTTTTCATTACTCAACGAATATGTGCCAGCGACTACCACATATAAATGTATACTTACAGTGTCTAATTCTAATGTTTCCCTAGCATCACTCAAAAAATTGATACACTTTACAGGAAATCAGTATTTTTCATTATTCATCATCATATTGGGTGCTTCGTATTTAAACATTAAAAAAAGAGCGAGAAAGTGATGGTACTCCGCGTTCTCTTTGAAATGTTGCATGCGAGTGAGAAGTGCAGTCCCTATCTGAGACATACTGATCCCTTTCTGCTCCTCCTGCCTCTCATCATCCTCTGCCATCTTCTTCTTTATTGCCCTACAATGTCTATCGTCTTTCTGTCTCTTTCAGAATGCCTCAACTTCAGCTCTCAAAATGTGCTTTTCCAACTATCCGACATGGATAGAAAGCCATTGTTAGAACACAGGGAAAAACAGCACAAAGGAGGGGCATAAAAATTCATAAACATGGCAGTTGAGAGACTTGAGACACAAACTTCTTAAGATGACAGCACACGTGCAATCATACAGAGGCATCCATTTCTTTAAAAACTTGTATTTTTACACCTAAAAGGACTTACAAAAGTTATGCATAGTAAATCTGGAACCTAATTTTCACATGATTTTACTCAACTGATATAAAAATTTCTAGAATATGCCTCTCTGGCAAAAAGTTAATTTTAAAATTCAGTCATATTTCATCCATACTAATAATAAGTTGTAAGACGTCAGGTATGCACAGCTGCCAGTGTACCACTACTGTATGTCCGTATAAAATTACACAAAATTACAGAAAGAATAAGAAAATGTACTCTGAGTGCTGAGAGTAGAGAAAGAAGAAGGAAAAGTTACTCCGAGTGCTACTGAGAATAATTGAAGAGGAGGTTGGGAGAAGATGAGACCGACAAGCACTGCTTAATTGCGAGAATCCAGAGAAGAACTGTGGAAGGTGAGCCGTTTTGGCGAGCGCCAGTAGGATTCGGGATGGATCGGGTTCTGCAGATTATGATGGGTTTTGGATTTGGGCATTTTATTTATTTTGTATCTAACCCTCTTTTGAGCTCTAGAAAATTATTCCAAAATTTGTTTTGAGAATATTTATCATTTTTAATCCTCTGATTGTTATATCATTGACATTTTTTATATTCGATTTTGAGTTTTTTCGTTTTTAACCTTTCGACTATTGTGCGACAAACTCTTTTAATACTCGTCTTTGAAAATTTACACATTTAGTCCTTCGACTTTCATAAAAGTGACAATTTTGGTCTTTCAACTATTATAACAGTGAGATTTTTAGTCCATTTATTTTGCCAAACTCATAGTGGAAGGACTAAAAGTGTCAATTTTATAATACTCACGAGATTAAATGTGGAAAACATTGAAGTCGAGAATTATAAGTGTCTTGTCGCATAATAGTTGAAGATTAAAAATGAAAAAATTGAAAGTCGAGTATCAAAATGTCACTGACCCAATAATCGAGAGACCAAAACTTGGAGAAACTCATTTTTAAAAAATAAGGATATAAAATGAAATATGGTGCATGTATAGATATGTCAAAATACGTCAAATACCTAGTATGAAAATACTTTTCTTATACAAAAACAAATACAAAAAAAGATACATTGAAATAGAATGCCAGAAGTCAGAACTAAGGAGATCTTGAAATATTCTATGTAGATTGTCTTGTTTTGATTTTATATAGATCGAAATGGTTAGATGTTATATTATACACATTTTATTACTTGCTCTGTATTTAAAATATCACTACATACATTAGAGCTTGACAAAATATGTAAGAGGGAAATAGAAGGATTAATGAATAGTGTAGTAAAATGTAGGAGATAATGTGAAAAAACAGGAAAGAGAAGATAAAAAATAGATAAAGTAAGGATATTTGGATATTTTTAAAGGATACCAAAAAGGGAAAATGTAGCAACTTTTAAATACATTCTAAATATGAAATTGTTGTAAACTTTTAAATACGGAGAGAATATTATTTAGATACGTAGAGGGTGTTTGGCAATTGGATGTTGGCTTTTAGCTATTTGCTAATTGATAACAATGGATTATGTTGACTATTTTGATTAGCTGCTAATATTAGATGTTTATAAAAGAGAAATGGTCTAGAATAGGACTAAAAAAAAGTCTGTGAACCTAAATAAGAGTGACGTCTTTTTAATCCGTGAATAAGACTTCTTGGACGCATTTACCCTTTTATCTCGGATGGTACACCGAATCTTATCTTTTCCTCTTCTCACGACAATCTCTACCTCTCCTCAACGGCTCCACAACCTCGTCGTACGCTCTCTCTTATTTCTCCATAGCAAAGCAGGGGAGCTTCAAGACAACTAAGACACAGCAACATTCCAACGGTGATTGGCAGCGGCGGCTCGACGGAGAAGATGCGGCGGCACAACAGTTGCGGGGAGAGGTCGAGCTCGACGGAGAAGATGCGGCGGCACCACAATTGCGGGGAAAGGGCGAGCTTGCACAACAGCTGCGGCGAGAGGCTCTGTGTTCTATTCTCTTCTTCCCCTCTTCTTCTTCCTCCTCTTTTTCTTCTTCTCTTGGATAGATCTGCAAATATCCTCTTTTTCTTCTTTCTCTTGGGTAGATCTGGGAATGAACTTCGGTGCCTTGGTCATATAGTGCCTTCTAATTTTTGGTTTTCCTTTACAGGAGGCGGATAATTTTTTTTCTTTGTTTTATTCAATACGAACTACGAAGTATTTGTTTTAGAAATATGGGAATGAACTTTGATGCCTTGGTCATATGGTGCCACTCTATTTCTTCTCCTCTTCAAATTTTTTGTTTCAACTTCTTACTTTTGTAGAGATATTTGTTTTGTTTATTTCTTTTTTTATTTATTTTTTAGATAAAATTTGATTCAAATGTCATTATTATAGTCACACTTCCATGTTCATTGTCATGTATTTTTATATGATATCAACATTGTCAAAATTACAATGTGATAAATGATTTTAATGTTATGACATCTTGTAATGTTTGACATTATTTTCATAATTGTTTGATTCCAATGTCATTGTTATTGTTTTACATTGTCGGTTTGTCACAATGTCATTATAAAATTGACATTGTCAAATGTTTTGTTATAATGTCATTTTTAGATTATTGAATTGATATTGTGACATTTTTTATTTTGATATTGTTGACAATATTTGACATTGTTTTTGGAAATATTTATGATGACTACGTTTTACATTCAGAAATATTTCTGACATTGTCATCACATTGCTATCGACATCAAGATTGACATTGTCATTACATTGCTGTTGACATTGTCATTACATTGCTATTGACATTATCGAGATTTCAATGTCATTTTACATAGCATTGGCAATGACATTATCATTGCTATTAACATAGTCATTATCTCAATTTCATTTTTCATAACATTTACATTGTTATCATGAAATTGTAACATTCAGGTGTTTGTGTTGGCAATGTTTGTAATAACAATGTGCGACAATGTAAAATAGTTATGACATTGTTACTACATTGTCACCGTCATTGTAATACTCACAATGTCATTTTTATAGCATTGTATTTTTTTATGTTGCCATTATCATTACATTAACATTGTGACATTTTGATTAATGTTGAAGTTCATTGTTGGCTATTCAAGTTCTAGTCATGAAGGTCGCCGGAGTACATCTGAAAGAAGTTGCAGAGAATCAGCGGTGGAGGTCGCCGGAGCACTGACGGCGGAGGTCGGCGGAGGACTGGCGGCGGAGGTCGGCGGAGGACTGGCGGCGGAGGCGCCGGAGGACTGGCAGTGGAGGTTATTGGAGGAGAACGGGCGGTGGAGATCTTCGTAGGTCAGGCGGAGGTTTGGCGGCAGTGGGCGGAGGTTCGGCGGCGATCGGCATAGGTGAGGCAGCCGTCGGCGGAGGTCCGGCGGCAGTCGGCGGCGGTTGGCAGAGGTCTGGCGTCACTCAGCGGCAGATAGTAACAGCCAGCGGGGGAGGAATCTCTTATATAATTAAAGTGGAATTATTTTTTCTTTCTCCAGCAAGCTTCTGTGAAGGTGAGGGCATTTTTGTCCCTTAACATGAAAGTGGTCCTATTTAGGAGTAAAAAAGTTTTGACTCCTATTTAAGTTCTGTGCTATTGTTTTAGTTCTACTCATGTCTTTCTCCCTTTATAAAACATTGTTTGATTAAATGGTTGCTTACAATCGATTGATAATTTGTTAAATTACTTTTAAGGACATTAATTAATTTGTTTTGTTTACTAACTACTTTTATAGTACGTATATGTTTCACACGTTTAGCTAATTTTATTAATACAACTACTAAATCTGTTTTTAGTTAATAAAAATAATTTTTTATCAACGCATGAATTTACAAAAGATGTCCAAACATTGAACTTGTGGCTTCATGTTTGTGTGTGTTAGAAAATGAAAGTTTTCTAATATAAAATACTATTAATGAAAAAGATAATAAAATTACATGAGAGGAAAGTCAAAAGAAAGAACACAAAAAGAGAAATAAGAAAACAAGTAACAAGAGAAGAGAAAATAGCCAAGGAAAATGGCCCAACCCGAGTGTCTATAGAAGTATAGAACTGTTCGTTAACGACCCATTCACTGACAAAATCTTCAGATAAATGGTTACCTGTGAAAACATCCCTCGAAGTGTTGACATCTGGATTTGCACATATAGTAGTCTTCCCTTCTTCAGAAAGCATTTTCTGATTTTCTAGAGAGTCGGCAAGGATTCTTTTGAATTCTTTGAGTAGAAATTTCGAGAGAGCCCACCCCGCTAGTCATAGCAGTCTCAAAAAATCCCTAAATGATTTCTAATGAATCTACCTCAATCTTTAGCTCAGATTTACTAGCCTTCTCAATTGCAATCAACTCCAAAAAGTTAAATGAAGTTGAAAGAATATGGACCTGTAGTAAAGCTTTCGAAATCGAAGAATCAATCTTACAATAATGATGTCTACCCCTATCCAGTCGTTGTATAAGTGGATCGTCACATGCGTCACTTGATAAAGTCTCACAAGTGACTTGTGTAATTGATGTCATTGGCTCTTGAGGTGCGATCGTTTTCATCAAAGTAATTGCCCTTGTAATCCCTGACAAGAAAAGGTTTATTCTCAATTCATTTCACCCTTCAGGAATAAATATAGAATTTCTTCCATTTTCAATTATTCGGAGAAAACCTCCAAATATATTTACATCACGGAGGATGGCAATGGAATTCTTCAGCTCTAAACTAGTCCAATATCAATTACTAGGAATAAATCTTGGGGATGGAGGCCTTCAACCAAGAAGCTTTTCCAAATCAAGATTAATAACAAAAATAATCCCATGTTTTGTTTCAAATACACGCAATTCATTGCACCTAATAGTATGAAATCGGAAGCATTTACTTTCAATTGAAATTCCTGACCCTTCTGTTGTGAGAATTGATTTGCACCTTACTTTGATTTGCCTTCTCAGTCTGTTTGTCGTATAAGGGAGCAGTGAAGTTGTTCCACTCCTGGCATGTTGATATTTGAAGTTTTATATGTATGTATGTATGTATGTATGTATGTATGTATGTATGTGTGTGTGTATGTATGTATGTATGTATGTATGTATGTATGTATGTATGTATGTATGTATGTATGTATGTATGTATGTATGTATGTATGTATGTATGTATGTATGTATGTATGTATGTATGTATGTATGTATGTATGTATGTATGTATGTATGTATGTATGTATGTATAATTATGTAGTCATGATAGCCCATAGTTATATTGTTATACATTATTGGAGGCCTCTATGTCCCCAATAGTTATCTTCTTATAGAGGTCCCCCAATGCACCAATATTCATGATATCCACAAAGAGAGCAATTAACTTGTTCTCAGAGATGTTGTGCGGAAAACGAAGTGATGAACGGAAAGAGAGGAAAGCTAGTGCGGGCAAAGTGGGAATTTGTGATAAATATTCAAACACTCAAGTCCAAAACGATGAGTTCATCCGCTTTTTTAATTTTGGCTATTTGAGATAAAAAGTCAAGTGAAAAAAGTCAATTAACCAAACACCTCAGTTAGCTGTTTATTTGGTC